CCATCGTCATCTTCCCCTACTAATGCAGTAATATACATTCATCACCTGTATACGGGGTATTTATCTCTCAGTTGAATCGATATATTCGATATTTGTCTATGTATAAACAATATCTAAAACGAGTTAGACTATTGACAAACAAGTTGCTGAAACAAGAATATCAGCAGTCGCGTTTGAAGTCATCATTTTTTTCAGTTCTATGGTCGATACAATGACCTTGTCAGCAAATAAAATTTATCATGAAGTCATATGCTGGCTGACTTTTTCATACTAGTTGTTAGGCTATAATATATACATTGAATTGACAGATTTTTTTTCGCTATTTCCTAATCATGGCAAAAAGCACATTGAGGGTGTTACCGGTCGACAGGGAATGCTCACTCCTCTACCTGGTCCCGCCTCTGATGTTTCGGAGTTCTGCTTTTGTTTTGTATTATTTCATGATCTTTTGAACTGGAATATTGTTTATTATCTCCATAAATTTCATAATTATTATACTAAAAATGATCTAGATGATTTTTCACTGTTTTATATGTGGTTATATAATTGTAATGTATGGGCCTTGAGTTATCGTTCATATTTATCACCTCCCTTGTGAACATATGTAAATACTGTTTACAGAGTATGCGCTATTGGTTTTATTTTGTATACTGATGTTGCTGATAATTCGGAGATTACATACTTATTTAAATTGTATTAAATACAAAATTAACCTTATAACAAGGATGATTGGAGAGCGTTGGTGACCGTTGGTGATTTAAAGGTAACGGCATTGGTGCACGTGTTGGTGATATGGTGATTATGAAAACCTCAATAAAATAGCGCTTTATCAATTCTGTAAACAGATCATACCTGTATACGATAACTGGGTTCATTTTGTATTTAATTTTGTTGTTAAACATCGCTGGCATCCCACATAAATGCATATTTTCCTCTAAAATTACTTCTCCATACACCTTGTAAACAATGTTAACTGGAAACTTCCGGTTATGGGGTTTTGGTAAAGTCAACAAACTGACGTCAACTTGGGCACTACGTCATTATTTACATTGGTGACACAAAAGAGTATATAAGCAGGCGTTACGGAGTCAGCAGGAGGCAGATAGAGAAAGCAGTCAGATAGAGAGAGCAGTTATTATAGAGATTACATAGACAAAGCGGAATAGCAGTAGAAGGAGAATGTAAGTTTGGACAACATTTATACAGACACCAAACACTTATCTATAAGTTTACAGTCATTAAAGTTTATTTATATAACATATACCTATACGTTGGATGTCAGTCGATATACCCCCCCCCTTTTATTTATAACCCGTATTACAAAACGTAAGTTGCGCTATAGTATTGATTAAATTGGATAATTCAACTTACCAACCAAGAGTTTTTCAGGGATAAGATTTTATCATTTATGAAATTAATTTAATCTAACAATAAACTCATTTAAACCTTGAAACAGCTTTTTTATTGAAAATAAGTATTCTCGGGCACGTTACATAATTAAAATATGATCCACATCTCATCTCTGAAAACTGCATCAAGTTTTTTTAAAAGAAATTTTCTTAAGTAGGCATGGTTACATGACGTACTGAACTGAAAACAAAAGAGTATTTATGTATATAAATAAATTTATGTGATCTAAATGCCTATAGGATTACTTTTTTATTATTAATTACTATTTTGTGCAAATTCATGGGTTTTCAGGGGATTTCTTACTTTTAGTTTGAGTGCCCCTTAATTACGGCTATTCCCTCATCCTTATGAAAGGAGTTTTACACGTTTTAACCAACTGAACCCCTCAGTCATCCTTGCATATTGTTATCATTGTAAAAAATACAAGTACTACTTTTCTTTTGCATAAGGTATGGGATGTTTTTTTTTTTAAACCTAACCTTCTGCTGCGCTCTGATTTTGTAAAATCTATTATTTCATTTGGCATTTGTAATAAATGGATTTTTCACACACACAAGTATTGGTTAAAATCAATATGAGATTCCATTTTTACCAACAACCGTTGAATTATTAATTTTGAAAATTGAATCATTTATCATTTATCATCCATCTTTAGAATTTCATTGATCTCAATATCGAATAGGTTTGTTAGTTTTTAGGTTACAACAACAAGGAGACATATATGATAAATGGAATACGCGTGTATGTGATCATTTTCACTAAATGAAAATGATGCTTTTTCCACCGGTTAAAATAATTATGAAGAAATTGTTTGTAGTTTATTCATGAGATAGCAACCATGTGGTTTTCATAAATATTCATAAGTTCCTGCATAAACTCAAAATTCTGTTCATTCAATTTATTTTACTAAAAAAGCCACAAGTGTAGTTTGTTTTAATATTGTTTTAATATTCAAGCCTTTGTCATACTCATAGTTATATGAGTTGAATTTTGTATGATTCATGATATCGTTTTACTTACAATAAGTAGATCATACTTGTTGAAATAGGTACATCTGTACTTCACTTTTAAAAAGCTCTCTCTAACACCTATTAATTGATGTAAGAAGCTTATCAACTTAAATTTCACCATCAAAAATTGATTTAAAAAAAACACAAATTCTGAACTATTTTCTTCAATAAAACGAAATTTTCTACTTCCAATTCTTTAATCAGAAGGCAGTGGCAACTTCATATTTTGTTTCAACAATCTTATCATTTCCAGTAGAAGATAAGAGATAGTATCAATCGCCGGCGTGAAACTTTATCCAAACAAGTTAATACTGATTTTGCCATTTTTGTATTTTCTTTATTTCAACCTTTATGGAATCGGCAACCATCATATCCCTAATATGGATGATATGCAAATGAACAGAATGAACACAATTTCTTCATATGCTCATTTCCGCGGATTTACAATTTTTGTTCTATTCAAGGGTAGATATACCAAGTTTCCCTGGTTTGTCTTTACATGTATATGTTGAAAATGCACTCTGATTACTGTAATAATTTTTTTTCCGCGGAGAAATAATGGCCGCGCAATTTAAATTATCGTGGAAAAGCATGTCTACAGTATTTAAAAATATTAACAACTGTTCAAACTGTTTTATGGGAAATCACTTTGAAAGTAAAGTGAAATGGATCTGGAGTTACTTTCCTGCTGCACAGTGTCTGAGCAGAGGACTTCAAATTAAGTCAAAGTGACTAATTCATTTTTTTATTCGATTCCTTATATATGTCGCTCATAGAAACATTTTTTTAAATATACTTCTAAATAATAAATAAATATATACAGACAACAAAACCTGGTAATTATAATTTTACTAAACGAAAGATTTTCAGAAACTATATTCGTTTATAGGTGTAAAGCGAGCTGTAGAAATCTTGAATTTTAAAACAAATGATCACACTTGTCATGGTTTATCTTCAACATCTGTTTAACGATTGGTAAGTTTGATTAACCCTTCAGATTGTCACATAAAGCCCAGGATCCTGCAGATGGTCCTATATAAAGCCCAGGATCCTGTAGAAGTTTGGGTATTTGACAGACAACACAAGAGAAAGTAAATTGATTTCAGGTAAGACAAGATATAACTTTAGAAAATATCTTCAAAAATTGATTTATCAAACTAGCGAAAAGATTTTTGTCCCCTACCAGTGAGACCAGATGGAACCAAACGTTTTCTCTAAATTTATCCGTCTGTCTGTCTGTCTGTCCCATTTCTGTCTGTCAATATGTCCTTGGTTTTCCGCACTGTTTTCTAAACATTTGCAGATATTGAGCTGATGTTTGGTATGTGATTGTATCTTGAGGAGTTACAGATCAAGTTTGCATTTCGTTCCAAGTCATTTATTTTTAATGGAATTATGGCGTTTTCATTTTCTTTATAATAGGGATTACGATTGGGTTTGTGATGTGCTTAATAAATATTCCAAACGAGCTTGTATCCTAAAGAGGAAAAGGGAATCCTGGTAAGGGACGTGTATTGCTTGAATATAGCTACATAACTGTAGCTCTCCGAAAAATATAGAGCGAAGAACTACAGTGACTCCACCTTACGTTACATTTAAATATTGTACAAATTGAAGTCATTTTTATAGAACATCATTTTTTCTTACACCAAATGAATGAAAACAAGTTGTCTTTTAGAAAAAGGACGGCAATACGTGGACCATATGCATGTGTTTCTTACCGAAATTCAATTGAAGAAGTTTTCTAAGTTTAGTGAATATCCATGTAGGTTCATTCACATTTCAACAATTGCAATGATCTGCCTAATTTGACTGATAGTACTTCCATAGCAAAATTGTAAAAATTTTATCCCCGATTAGCCTTTAGTTTTTTCGTTTTTAAAAATCGGGCTATTTTGATACATATAACTTATAACGGCTGGGACTTGACATCTCCTCTGGATTTATACGGAAGAAATCATCATTGAACCGCTTCGCAGTTTATAAAGCGTAAACTGCCCCAACCATACAATATCAGTTTATACCATACAAAATGGGTAGCTATTAAAGTCTTTCCTTAAATATATTTAAAACGAAATCCACAATACTACAAGTTGTAAAACGTTAGCGCTTTCATTTTGATTTTTCAGACGTATCATTCTGTTTTACCATTTTATCTTGAAATGTTATCAACTGATGTAATATATATCAATTTAATTATGTTTGCATAAATGTACGTATATCTTGAATTGATTTCGCTGAGAACCTGAAAATATCCCGTACATTTACCTGTACGCAAAGAAGTATGAGGTCGTCACTCTGTACCTGAAAATGAACAATTTGACAGAATCCTCATAGATATTTATATTATATTCATTGTAGACAGTGCAAGGATATGCAACGTGCCATCTTTATTGTTCTGTTTGTAACTGTGATGAGAAGCATATTCGGTATTTCTTTAATTCAGAACAAAATAATTAATTAGATAACAAAGTTTAGATAGATTATCGTTCAAATTCATATTTGATTTATCTTTCATATTTCTGAAAAGTTTACTTTGATTTCATATTGTTCCATAAATATAATTGCATAAAATTACAGGGACTGAAATTCCAGACAATCAAGGAAAAGAGTTTATCATAGGATACATGGAAGCACGTACTTCTGGTGGACGCGTCTCAAAGAAACCAGTTGATCTGTTTATAACTACGTCTTCTGTAACACCAGTGGATGTAGAAATATCTACTCCAAAAGATGGAAACAATGTCAAGAAAATAACTGTCACCCAAGACAAGGTAGAACATGTACAGCTTCCGAAAGAATTAAGATTACTCGGTAATATGCGTTGTAATAAAGGGGTACTTATCAAAGGAAACAAAGAAATTATTGTTTTTGGCTTAAACGTTGCCGATGTGTCGACAGATGGTTTCATGGCACTACCAGTTGATGTGTTGGGTACAAAGTACTTTGTTCCAGCTTACAGAAATAACGCTCATTTTAGGAATTCCTCCAAAACTGCGATTTTAGTTGTAGGAGTTCAGGATAATACAAATTTATCGATCAAGCTTTCAGAAGGAGGCAATGTGGAGGTAGAGGTGGACGGGAAGAAATATTACGACGGTGATTGGATAAATACGACCATTAACCGATTTGAAACACTCCAGATCGTAACAAGTGGAGACCTGACGGGTACCTTTATACACACCAGTTCTCCAGTGTCCGTTTTTGGGGGAAGCACGGTAACAAATATCGGTTCCGGAAGAACAAGGGATCATGTCGAAGAACACATACCCCCCGTAAATGTGTGGGGGAAAACATTCTTCATCAATCCCATTCCCAACACAGATGACAATATCTTTCGTTTCCTGTCAAGTCAAGACGATACTGAACTCATGGTGAACAATAACAAACACGTTTTACAGAAATCTGGGCAGTTCCTAGAAACAAGATTACATGGGTTCTCCGTTGTAACTTCTAATAAACCGATATTGTCAGTCCTATATGTTCCAAGTCCAGCAAATTATGGTTCTTCAGGGGACCCCGCCATGGCACTGATTCCACCAAGGGAACAGTTTAACAGTTTTTATTCCTTCGCCACCCCTGTATCATCACGAAATGCAAACTTTTCAACAGTTTTCGTTTTTGTTATAGAGACAAAGGATAAGAATGGAATCGTTCTTGACGGTAAACCAGTTTCTATGTCTCAAATCAAACAATTGGAGCACCAAGATAACTTCTCTTTCGGGTATTTAGAAATTCCTCCTGGAAGTCACACTTTGAAACATTCTTCAGTTATAGCCAAATTTAGTGGAATATTATACGGAGGTGCTCGTTATGAATCATACTGCTTTCCTGTTGGACAACGATTTGCACCAATAAATGAAGTAAGAATATATATTTTACACGGTTAATTTAGTAAAACTATTTGAAACACTTCTAAATGATACTCATTAAAATATTTTAACCTTCATAAAAAAGATATGCAGACAAAAGCCGGTGACTATTGGAGATGGGCTCGACAATGATTGTGATGGTGATATCGACGAAGAAATTTGTTTTGATAACCAAGGTAAATTTGATTTTTTTTTTCTGTTTTCGAAAGGATGCAAATGACACGTATAATGGCAAATACTTTTTACGAATTGTTTTTAAAGCTGACATGAACTCTTAAAAGGCATCGTTTTTCACCTTTGTACGAATTACTACATTCCTGTACGCCCTTGACTTACTACATTCCTGTACGCCCTTAGATTTCTTCGATTCCGCCATATTTATTTGAAACACATCTCCGATAGCATAGTTTTTAGAAATCCATAAAGTGACCAAATACATGTTTTAAAAGTAAAAATCCAACAAAAACTAGAACTAGCATACTGAGAAGTAAATTATTTTTGAATGCATTTGCTGCAATATAGAAAAAGCACTAACACGGAATACATTCATGTACAGCAAAAACCGTTTGGATATGCACGTATGTAGATCGAGAAAACGCATCGAACGCAGTGATAAAACATTTACCTGA